CCCGGTTGCCTGAGGCAAGAACTATGATTTCCAGATTTTCAGGGCATGGAGCCTGGCTTCTCTGACAGCTTTAGAACAAAGAAGCTGGGGTGCTCCAGGAAAGCAGCCTCAGATGGAACAGGAAGGGGTCCTTGGAGGCTGTGGCCATCCAGTGAGGTCTGATGCTCGCGAGATGTTTGTCGTCTCTTGTCATCTCTCTGAGCCAGAGAGCTGGGCAGACTGCTCTGGAGTCCTTTGAACCCCCCTGTGTTTTATCTAAGAGGTCAGCTCATGAGTGGTGAGTGTGTATGGTACTGGGTGGGCCTGGGAGTCCGTGCTACACCGAAGGCAATGGTCAGCGCTTATGCCTCGAGGACCTACAGTGTATGGGCCATGGCTGACTTGTTCCCCTCGTGGTTACCCCCTGTCCATACCCAGAAGAAATTCAGGTGAAGGAAATGGAGCTTTGAAAGACTCAAGTTTAGCAAGGTTTGGTTCCACATGCCAATAATCCCAGCTCCTCGGGAACCCAAGGCAAGAGGATTTCAAGTTCAAGGCCAGCCTGGGAAACTATCACAAAACCTTTGAAAATATAAAAAAGGCTAAGAATATAACTTAGTGGTAGAGTGCTTGCCTAGCATGTGCAAAGCCCTGGGTTTAATGAGAGAGAGAGGAGAGGGAAAGAGAGAGAGAGAGAGAGAGAGAGAGAGAGAGAGAGAAGGACACACAGAGAGAACAAAATTGTAAGGCTAGCCAGCATAAGAGAGAACCTATGTTAAAATTGAGGTCTCAGCCAAGCACGGTGGCATACACTTGTCAGAGGCAGGAAGATTGCAAATTCTAAGCCAATCTGGATAATATAGTGAGTTCTTCTTTTTTTTAGATATTACATTTAAACTTTTTTATTTAGTGTGCACGTGATATACATAAACACATGCCACAGTATGTATATGGAGTCAGAAGGCAACTCGCGGGAGTCAGTTTTCTCTTTCTGTCATGTGGGCCCTGGGGCTCAAACTCAGGTCATCAGGCTTGGTGGCAGCTATTTTTCTCAATGGAGTCTTCTTGCTGGTTCTGTACTGAGTGCTAATTCAGTTGGGGTGAAATCCTCTCTCTCTCTCTCTCTCTCTCTCTCTCTCTCTCTCACACACACACACACACACACACACACACACACACACACACACACAAAGTCATAGTCCCTTTGCTGCTCACTTCCCTTTGCACAGGCAAAGGGTAGAAAGAGATACTAGAATTAAAAAAACCAAGGTGGGTTTGGGGGAGAACAGCCATATGTCCCCTCATGTCAGAGCCTAGGGGGCCACAGTTTCTAGAAAGCTGGTTTAAGGCAAAGCCAGGTGAAGAAAGAGCAGGTCAGGGCTCCACTTGGACCCTGTCTGCACCTTTTACTCCCTTCTGGTTCTTTCCTGGGATGCAGCCACCCTCCTATTTGTTTTTCTAGAAGGTTCCCACTCTACTTGGCCAGTGGTGGAAGAAGAACAGTGTCCAGGACTTCTGGGGAGTCATATTTAAGCCCCAACTTTTACAGTGTGCTTCGTGGAGGGTCATTTGTACCCTCCTGGGTCCGAGCTTACATCGTCACTTCCCAGCTCCTTCTCCTCTAAGCCATAGAATCTTCTAGTGCTTTTTCCTTGGGGTCAGCCCAGGAATCTAGCCAAGGGGTGGGGCCACCTGCTTGGCGGGCTGGCCTCCCATTCGACCCCACTCTGTCCCAGGAGAGGCTCCCTTCTCCCTGCCCCCAGCAGCTGCTTACAGGGTCCAGGCTGAGAGCCCAGCTTGGCGCGTCTCTGGCTGAGTCCGATGAGAGAAAACAGGTTAAAAGTTCAGCCCTTGTTCTCTCCAGGAAGAAGAATCTGTAGCATTCGAGTGTGAAAAGGAACCTTCTTTCAGCTCCAGAGCTGCACAATGGAACTTCCCCCCAATTTGCCATCAAAAGGATGCCCTTGGCACTGGCTCCCACTGTCACTGGCACCCTCCCCCCAATTACCCCCTCTCAAGCGCAAAAGGACACAGTGACCACAAACTCGAGCCCCGGGCGGTCATGAGGCTCTCTTCTGCAGCCTCTCTTGTCAGCTCAGAGGTCTGGCTGGGGTCACCTCCGCCCAGACACTCCTCCCTTTCCCACCCTCCATAGCCAGCGCCCTGTCATAGTTCACACCCTCATCCCCTCCCATTTGGACCCTCCCTAGCCTGGCGCATCTCGCATAGACCAAGTGCCTAGAATGTCAACGGTTAAGAGGCAGGACGGCTGTGTGTCCCAGTCCCTCACCAACTCTTGTACAGTCCTCTCCCACTGGTCCAGATGCCCTCTCTCTACAGTGGGGCTACTAGGCCAGATCAGGCAAGCACCTCAGCTGGTCTGTTTTTCCTTTCCTGGAACTTTGCAGAGGAAATGATTAGTGGCCACAGAGTATAGAGATTGATTAGTGATGCCTGCACTGGATACAGAGATGTGGGTACTGAATAATGATGCCTATTCTGGGCACAGAATTGGAGTGTGGTAGTATGTCTCCTGTCCTGGGTGGTATGTAGTAGTATGTCCTCTGTCCTGGGTGGTATGTAGTAGTATGTCCCCTGATGTAGGTGGTATGTAGTAGTATGTCCCCTGTCGTAGGTGGTATGTAGTAGTATGTCCCCTGATGTAGGTGGTATGTAGTAGTATGTCCCCTGTCCTAGGTGGTATGTAGTAGTATGTCCCCTGTCCTAGGTGGTATGTAGTAGTATGTCTCCTGTCCTAGGTGGTATGTAGTAGTATGTCCCCTGTCGTAGGTGGTATGTAGTAGTATGTCCCCTGTCGTAGGTGGTATGTAGTAGTATGTCCCCTGATGTAGGTGGTATGTAGTAGTATGTCTCCTGTCGTAGGTGGTATGTAGTAGTATGTCCCCTGTCATGGGTGGTATGTAGTAGTATGTCTCCTGTCGTAGGTGGTATGTAGTAGTATGTCTCCTGTCGTAGGTGGTATGTAGTAGTATATCCCCTGTCATGGGTGGTATGTAGTAGTATGTCTCCTGTCCTGGGTGGTATGTAGTAGTATGTCTCCTGTCGTAGGTGGTATGTAGTAGTATGTCCCCTGTCCTAGGTGGTATGTAGTAGTATGTCTCCTGTCATAGGTGGTATGTAGTAGTATGTCTCCTGTCCTGGGTGGTATGTAGTAGTATGTCCCCTGTCCTAGGTGGTATGTAGTAGTATGTCCCCTGTCGTAGATGGTGTGGAGCCGTGAGTTAGAGCTCTCTGCCTATTCCCTCACAGTCATTTTACTCATCCTCCTCTCTATCTCTAGTCTATAAACTGCTCTGTTGTAGGTCTTTTTTTAAATAAATAATTACTTAGTATGTGTATGTACACATATGTGCATGACGGGGCTAACCTATGCCTCTACATGCATGTACCTGTTGGAGGACAATTTTATGGAGTTGGCTCTCTGCTTCCACCTTCATGTGGGTTCTAGGGCTTGAACTCAGGTCGTTCAACAAGCACCTTTATCTGCTGAGTCATCTCACTGGCCTCCCTGCGGTTGAGTCATTTTTTTCTCTCTTGTGGTACCTAGGCCTGTCGACAGAGGTTTCTGTCCCACCCAGTCCTGCAGCCATTCAGTCCCAAAGAAACACACAGAGGCCTCCATTAATTATAAACTGGTTGGCCTCTTAGCTCAGGCTTTTTATTAATTCTTATAACTTATATTAGCCCATAATCCTTGTCTCTGTCAACCACATGGCTTGGTACATTTTATCAGTGGGGCATTCTCAGCTTGCATTCTCTACATCTGGGTGACAACTGTAGACAGAGCCTTTCTTCTTCCCCAGAATTATTCTAGTCTGGTCACCCTGCCTATACTTCCTGCTGGACCACTGGCCAATCAGCTTTTTATTAAACCAGTACAAGTGACAAATCTTTACAGGGTACAAGACCATGGTCCCACAGTATAGGCCAGTGCCTGGTATGTAATGGACATTAAGATAGATTTGTTGAATGAGTGTTTGAAAGCATCTGTGTAGATCCATTCCATGTGCTTTAATTCAGCTCAGTTTTGACAGCCCTTGGTAGGAAAGGACTAGAAGGGAAGGATACTGACTCCGACCTGGGATTAACGGGATCTCCAGGGCCCATGGATCTCTTTCACTTTAAGATGGGTGGTTTTTTTTCCCCCACCAGCTACTGGTTCTGACACTGGTTTGAGTCTTCTGGAACCCCAGAGAGCAAGTGGCAAGCACACTCTGAGGTCTATCCTTAACTCTCCTCTTCAGAGTCTCATCCTGGGACTGAACCCTGGAGGGGAGACTCCAGGATGAGACAGAGGGTGCCAACATGGCCTATGTCCCGAGGCCAGTCAGGCAAATGATGGATCTCCAGAGGTTGAAGAGAGACACCCCCCCCCCCCCCCGCCACGGCTGTCATTCCAGTGTCTGAACCTTTGAGATAAACTGGAAAGCAAATAAATGGTTGAATTTTGATGTAAAAATTTGAGGGATCGGTGGTGGATTTTCTGAAACATTGAAGAGAGAACCCTAGATTAAGATCCTCCACCAGGCTACGTGGTGGTGGCTCATACTTTTAATCCCAGAACTTGGGAAGCAGAGGCAGGCAGATCTCTGGGTTCGAGGCCAGCCTGGTCTACAAGGCAAGTTCCAGGATAGCCAAGGCTACACAGGAAAAAAAACTAACTAGAACCGGAAGGAAGGAAGGAAGGAAGGAAGGATAAATGAAAGAAAAAAGAAAGAAAAAGACCCTCTATCAGGAAAGATGGAGCAAGATAGTTCCTGGGTTGCTGAGATGTGGTTAGCTGGGAGCGGGGATGACCGCAGAGAGAGGAATACAGCAGAAAAATGGGCTCTAACGGTTGGCTAGGCGTTTGGAGTAAGGGGGAATGTGGAGCAGGGAGGCTGGGTTTATAGGACAAGTGGCTGTAAGGAAGAACCTTAAAGGGTGGGGTCCCAGGGTCTGCAGAGTAACTGACAGCACTGGGAGGTGGGGCGGGTGGTGACTCTTTGCTCTTCCCACAGAAACACTGATGGATTCTACCACGGCGACGGCTGAGCTGGGCTGGATGGTGCATCCCCCATCAGGGGTGAGTTCTCGTCCCTCAAACCCTGCTTGGCTGGCTCCCAGCATGCCCCAGAGTCTACTGATTCCTTGCACATCCCCTCATATCCCAGCCCCTCTCCTCTCACATCTCACCCACCCCATCCCACCCACCCTTGGTCGAGTACCCGTTCCCATGACAACATGTGGACACTTTGGCCTTCATCCTGTAGAATTCCCCAGGGGGGGCTGAGAAGTAGGTCCTCACACGGCACCCATTTCAGAAGAGGGAAGTATACCGCATGAGATTTTGTTCTGGGTTAGAGACCACACCTTTTACATGTCATCTCCAATACAGAAGCTCAGAGATGCAGCCACCTGCCGGGGCCTGACAACTTCACATGAAGGGGTTCATGGTGGTTTGATTGTGGTTTGGTTTCTGGTGCTTAGGAATCAGACCCAGGGCCTCATAATTATATTCTACCACTGAGCTGCACCTCAGCTGGGGCTCAGGTTTGTATCAGTCCTCGCCACCCCAACTCTGGATCTCTATAACACAAGGATCCCCCGAGTGAACATCCCTGGGTTCTCTTATGTTTGTTTTGAGAAAGGGTCTCATGTAGCACAGGCTGCAAACTTAGCTGTGTAACGAGGGGTGACATTGAACTTCTGCTCCTCCTGCCTCTTCCTCCTGGATGTTGTGAAAACTGGTGTGCACCACCACGGTCGGTTCTGTTCCGTGCTAGAAGTGGAACCCAGGGTCCTGGGCCTGCTGGGCATGCGCCTAGCAGCTGATCTACATCCCCAGCCCTTCCCTGAGTTCTTATCGTATCCCTCAGGTAGGGTCTGAGCCCATGTCTGCCCCAAGTACCCTGAGAGGAAGATGAGGCTAGATAGGCCTTCTCCTGCTAGCATTGCCCCAGTTCCACCTGTCAGTGTCTCTCCCTACGCTGTCCCAATTCCACCTGTCAGCTGAGTCCGTGGGTAGCCCTTTGCCTGTCTAACTCTGCTTTCTTTACCTGTGAAACAGTGGCCTTCACCACTGTTACCAAAGGCTTCCCCCAGAGCATAACACAGAGGCTGTCATGGGCTGGCCCCTGAGAGAGAGCAGCTGTAATCATCATCATCATCACCATCATCACCATCAATTTTACCGTTCACCCTCCCATGGTCTCTGGGGAGGCCCTGGACTCTACAGCCCATCCCCCCGCTTCCCACTCTAGTCTTCCAAGGGGACTCAGCTGCAGCCCTAGGGATCCATACCCGTCCCCCTCAGGCCTTGCTCTCAATAGGCAGGGCCCCAGGGTCAGGCTTCTTTCTGTGGCTCTTTCTTGTCACCAATTTTCCATCTGCGAAGACTGCTGGGCCCACGGCCCCACCCTGCCAGTAATGAGGCCAGGCTGGGCTGCAGGGCCCCCGGACGCAATTATTTGGGGTGTTTGGGCTGCAGGGCCTCCGCATGTTAATTAGAGAGAGGGGAGAAAGGCAGAGTGCTCTAATTAAGTGCTCTAATTAAGTTCTGAGGAAGAGCAGCGGTTGTAACAAGGGGCTGACTTTGTCACATGGTGCCACCAAAAGGAAAAAAAAAATTAAATGTGATGTAGGGAGATTCAGAGTCGCCATTGAGGTAGAGGCTGGGCCAGCAAGCCCTGGTTCTGGCTTCCCCTGTGCTTGTACCTTTCACAGCATTTCGCTCCCTCCAAGTCCTGCACAGGATGGTTCAAGGATCACTGACATCTCCATGGTCATCTGCCATCCCCATGGTCCCATTTGACAAATGGGAAAATCAAGGCCCAGAGAAGGGAGAGGGATTGCCCAGGCTCATGCAACATGTTAACAGTGCTTAGTCCGAGGAAACATGGGCAAGCCTGGGAACAGGACCAAGACTCTGTGACTTGAGTTAGGTGGCCTCACCTGTTTGGTCTCATCTCCCCCTTGTGCAAAATGGAGCTCACATGCTAAGTGTGAGAATCATGCCAAAGAATGAGACACTGTGCCGGCATTAGCCTCGGGCCGGGCCTGGTGGGAGGACCAGCCCTAACCCAGGGAGCACAGAGGAAGAGAAGGAAGTGGCCTTAGTCAGCACTCCAATCCTTTGGGGAGACCAGACCTAGAAGGCTGAGTGTTCCTTGTCCCCAGGGCGTGTCAGTAAATGCAAACACAGAAGGCTGTGGACAGGTGCTGGAACAGGCCCGGATGTTTGAGGGTGTGAGAGCTGGAACTGTACAGTGGCAGAGTATTTGTGGGGTGTGTGCAAGTCCCTCCTTCTATCCTCAGCACCACAGGGAGGGAATGAATAAAGGGCATTTGAAAGAGTCCCAGAATTGGACACGGAGAGGCCCAGCCATGGAGATGATCTTTGCCTGAGTCTGCAGAAATGACTGGCTCTCATACTCTGCTCACAGGCAATCCGGCCCACCCAGCACGGAGACTTAGAGGGTCTTGCTAGTTAGTAATGGCTCAGGAAGGGTCTCAGGGAGGTTTCTGAGCTCCTTCTCCAGACAGGGAAGGCGGTTAGCTCCTTCCAGGTACCAGCAGGCACCAATTCCCAGAGGAGAGTTCAGGCGGGGCAAGCCTCTGAGGGAAGCTGCTGTTGGCTTCCCCGTGATCCTCGACCAGTAAGGGTATAGGCCATCTTCCTTCATAGACTGGGAGTCTCAAGACGGCAAAGATAGTATCTCCCTCACTGACAGGGAACTCTTGAGGGTGGCAGAGGCTCTGTCTCCTCTCCTCCACCAAGCAAGTAGTAGTCATATGTGCCCATCCCCCATCTTCCCAGTGTCCTGTCCCTGTGCCCCCACCCTCCATCCCCATGCATGAAGCTGTCTCCTTGTATCAGAAAGCACTCCTTCCTTGTGGGCCCCTTTCAAGTCCCTGCCTGCTAGCAAACCCTGAGGTCAGAGCCACATATCCCGTGAGGACTAGGGGATAAATACCAAGAGAGGGTATGGTACCTCTCACCGTCAAATTGGTGTGGCACTCTTAGGCTGGGGAATTCTCTAAAGTTGAGGCCGTGTCTCCCCTCATCAGATGGAAACGTCTCTCCATCATCAGACTGGAGGGGTCCCCAAAGCAGAGTCCACATTCGTCCCTTCCCCCCACTTCAGATGGGGTCTTTGCTGTGGCCGAGGGCTACTTTCCCCGTCTGACTGGTGTTTCGCCCGCAGTGGGAAGAGGTGAGTGGCTACGATGAGAACATGAACACTATCCGCACATACCAGGTGTGCAATGTCTTTGAGTCAAGCCAGAACAACTGGCTGCGGACCAAATTCATCCGGCGCCGTGGCGCCCACCGCATCCACGTGGAGATGAAGTTCTCAGTACGTGACTGCAGCAGCATTCCCAGCGTGCCCGGCTCCTGCAAGGAGACCTTTAACCTTTACTACTATGAGGCTGACTTTGACTTAGCCACCAAGACCTTCCCCAACTGGATGGAGAACCCATGGGTGAAGGTAGACACCATTGCAGCGGACGAAAGTTTCTCCCAGGTGGATCTGGGTGGCCGCGTCATGAAAATCAACACCGAGGTGCGAAGCTTTGGTCCCGTGTCCCGCAACGGTTTCTACCTGGCCTTCCAGGACTACGGGGGCTGTATGTCCCTCATTGCTGTGCGTGTATTCTACCGAAAGTGTCCCAGAATCATCCAAAATGGTGCCATCTTCCAGGAGACATTGTCGGGGGCCGAGAGCACTTCCCTGGTGGCTGCTCGGGGCAGCTGCATCCCCAATGCGGAGGAAGTGGACGTGCCCATCAAACTCTACTGTAACGGGGACGGTGAATGGCTGGTGCCCATCGGCCGCTGCACGTGCAAGGCAGGCTTCGAAGCTGTGGAGAACGGCACCATCTGCAGAGGTAAGGGGCAATGGGGCAGGGCCCTGCAGAGGTATGGTGATAGACTTGGCTCTGACTGGCAAGGGCAGAGGTCTGGGCTAACCCCAAGGCTTTCCGTGGCTGGCTTTCCAAGCTCCCTTAGCTAGCACTTCCTGGACCATGGGTTGTGTTCATAGAACAGTTATACGAATACAGACGCCCTGGGGAGTAAGAGAATGCAGGGGACTTGTTTTAATTATAGCGTGATTACTTCGGATGGTGGTTGGTGCTTTTTCCTTGTTCATTTGTGGAAGTGATGGGGTTTTATGTTTAAAAAAAGGAGTAAGACATGATAAATGACTGTTAGATCTTAGCATCCACAGAGCTTGTTCTGGGTCTCTATAGGCCAGACAAGACAATAATGCTTATTTCTCCTCCATGCTACCAGTTTGAGATTCCTTCCCCGGGGAACTGAGCCATAGAGGAGCCCCTGTTTGGAATATTGCTGTCATCACAGCAGATGGAAAGGGAGATTGTGGTGGGCTGAAAACAGGTCACCATGCGGCTACCTGGAACAGTCCACACCTTACAGCTCTGCTCATTCCAATGGCCAAAATACGTTCACGGTCACTTGCAGTTCAGAGATGGGGCAAGTACTGGCCAACCAGGCATCACTGTGGACTGTTTTTAACCGTGTGTCAGACATGCATAGGACACACAACTCACGTGAAATAGTCAAGGGACAAAGTACTGTTTTCTGAGAAGGAAACTGAGGCTCAGGAAGGTCGCACAGTTATCAGGAGACAGGAGAGTCTCACTCAGGGGCTGTGGCTCCAGAGCCCATCCTTGGAACCACTGGGAGTGGCTCTTTCACCGAGGGGGGGCATCGTCTTGAACAAGCGTGCGTAGGACAAATAATCATGAAGGTGGTTTTCAAGCATAAGAAGTTTGTAGGAGGGACCTCAGGTTGGCAAGAAGGCTACTAAACCTGCTTCCAGTTGCAGCCCCCCCCCCATTAACCCGGTGACCTTGGCCAAGTGCAAAGATGTCTTTCAGAGGGTGTGGAGAGTCAAGAACTAAGCCTGTGAAATGCTTAGCATTGATGCTGACAGGGGTAGTGCATGGCAGTCCACTAAACGCGACAGTGACAAAAAGTTAGCTGGGCTGCGCTCAGTGGTTGTTACACAAGGGACTGGAGCCTACTGTGTCATTTCCTTTTGTATTTCCCGTCAGAATATGGGGTTGGGTGGGGGTGCTGGGATGTCCCAAATGCCAGGCTGAGAGAGGCTATGCAAGACTGGAGAATGTTTCCCTGGGAATGGAAATAGAATCCTCTGATAAAATCCATTCTTCCTAAGCATCTCCCTCCAGCCTCTTGACACCAGTAGGCAGTGCCCCTACCTTGATTTTTTTCAAGACAGGGTTTCTCTGTGTAGCCCTTGTTGTCCTCTTGGAACTCACTCTGTAGACCAGGCTGGCCTCAAACTCAGAGATCCACCTGCCTGTGCCTCCTGAGTGCTGGAATTAAAGGTGTGTGCCACCACGCCTCGCTAGCCAGTGTTCTCTTTCTCCTGGAGGGATGGTTTCCTCAGGAAGCAGCCACAGCAGTCTCAGAGAGGGTTACTGCGTGCGCTGGAGTGTCACAGTGCTAGGGGACAAAGGCTGCAGCCAGTGTGTGCTTCCCCAAGACAGGTCAAAGGCTACCTGGAAGCTTCCTCTTCCCAGGAAAAGAAATGGAGAAATTAGGGGCAAAGACTAGTTTTTCTGTGGAAGGCAACACATTCTGTTGTAGTTAGTTGTTTTTCTTTATGCATATGGGTGTTTTGCCTGCATATCTGTGTACTGTATGTATGCCTAGTGCCCACAGAGGCCAGAAGGGGGCATCAGATCCCCTAGAATTAGAGTTACAGTCATGAACAGCCATGTGGGTGCTAGGAACTGAAACTAGGTCCTCCGCTAAAAGCAGCCGGTACTCTTGACCACTGAGTCATCTCTCTAGCCCCCTGTTGTATTACTTTTTATTTTGTTTGTATTTGTTTATTTTTAAGGCACTAAAGTTGAGCCAGGGTCTCAGGTATGCTGGGCAAGCCCTCTGCTGATGTGGGAGTGTCATATATCTGAGGCACACGCGATGAAGCTCCGACCCAGGAGAGGGGAGCATGGCGTCTCTGAGCTCACTTCCTCTTCTTCCTCCCAGCATTCTGTTCTGTTTACTCCTCCCACCTGTGTTTTAACCTATGAGGCCAAGCAGTTTCTTTATTACTTAACCAATGACCTTCCTCCATCACTCTGCCATTGAGCTACATCGCTAAGCCCACAGGTTCAGTTTCACATCCTTGGGAAGATGACAGCAGAGATGGAGCGGGGACCAATAGCTCACAACGGCTGTTTATTCATTCATCAATCTCTCCCAGAGCCTGTGTTGTATCAGACCTTATGCTGAGCTTCAGGTGATACCAGAGGGAATGCAGCTTCAGCCCCATCCTCTGGGTCTTCCAGTTCTCGGAGGGAATAGATCTGTTGTGAACTAAGGCTGGAGGGAGAGGCCCGGCACTTGGTTTCCTCGGAACTGCTTATACTGCAGCACAGCTGGGCACGGGAGGGTGCTGGAAATAGCAGGAGATATCTCAGAGGCAGTGATAGCTGAGCCTCTGGGTATCTCTCTGGTTATCTAGGAAGAGAAATGTGTTTGTTTGGGGACTTAGAACTTCCAAAGGATGAATCTGCATGGATTAAAAGGCCTAAGGGCTTGAGTCAGCTAGACCCATTGCAGGACTGACTGGTCTAGCTGGGACTGAGGGGTCCAGGGCAGCTGGACCCATATTGCAGGACTGACTGGTCTAACTGGGACTGAGGGATCCAGGGGTTATGGGAGAAACTGACATCTGAGCGTGCTCAGCCGAGGAGATACCTTCATTTATCTACTGATGCTTAGCAGAACCTCCCAGGACTTAGCAGGTTGCAACTAGTGGTGATCAGAGGCACAGAAGTGGTCCAGCTTGCCTCTGGCTGCTGCCAGCTAGTGCTTCAGTGGCATCCTGAACTGCCCAGGGAGGGGTCTTCTTCTTTGATCCCTCCTGAGATTGTTACCCGGCCTCTCAACATGCACCTGGGATCACCCAGAGAGAGGACCCAAGACAAAGCTAATGTCGTGTGTGTGCATGTGTGTGTGTGTGTGTGTGTGTGTACACTGATTCAGATGTGTGTGCATGAGTGCTCAGGTCAGAGGACAACTTCATGTATTATCCTCAGAAACATCCACTTCCTTTAAGAAAGGACCTCCCGCTGGCCAATTAGGTTAGGCTGGCCAGCCAGTGAGCCCCAGGGATTCTTCTGTCTCCACCTCCCTGCACTAGAATGACAAGCTTGCACCACCAAGCCCAGAATTTTTACATAGGTTTTGATCTTCATGCTTGCAAGGCAAACACTTTACCAAATGAGCCATGCACCTGCCCCTGCCCAAGGCCAGCATCTTTATTACTCAGTCTTAGAAGTAACATCCCATCATCTCTGCCACATTCATTCAACGTGAGTCCTTGGAATCAGCCTGTGGTCCAGAGGGTGGTTCACAGAGACCCAGGTTTCGAAAGCCTGGGACAGTCTCATATTAGAGCAAGTGGCCAACTGGGCATGGTGGCCCATGACTTGAATCCCAGCACTAAGAAGGCAGAGACAGGCGGATCTTTGTAAGTTCATGGCCAGCTTGGTCTACATAGTGATGTCCAGGATACCCAGGATTGTGTAAAGGTCTCAAAATTAAAATAGAGCGTGAGGCCAAAGGCAGGTTCCTGGTTTCGAGGTCAGGGTCATAGCTTTCTTTTCAGGCATTGAAACTGCAGATGAGGGCGGGCATGCCCAGCCCTGGCTGCCTTCTGCTTGGAACCAGCAGGACACCCCAGACCCAGCCCTGGCCTGGCACAGCCTACCCTGGCCACTGCACAATCACAGGGACCAACTGGGGCATAGCTAACAATCACAGGAACCAAACTGCTGTGTAGCCTGGGAAAGGCACCCACATGGGGTGGCGCGGTAGGATGGGCACCATGGTTCACATTGGAGTTGTGAGCCAGTGTTCTCTCATTCTTTTTAAGGGTTGTTGGCTTTTCCTGTGGACCAGAAACAGCAGGCAAATAGTTGAAAACACAGGTGTCTAGATGTGGCTCCCCTCCCTCCCCAGGCCTGGTCACGTGTCTCTGAGGCGAGCAGCCTTGATGATTCTGTCCTAAGACTGTTAGCTCAGGCAGGCAGGGGCATTGCACAGCTTGACCAGAGCATCCTGGGGCTGCTGAAGCCTGAGATGAGCCTCAGTCTACTGGTGGGAGGAGACCAGTGGGCTCAGAGAAGATCCTCCTATCAGCCGAGCACGATCGGGGAGAAAAACTCTCTCCTAGTCTCTTGATTTGACAAGATAAGGCTGGCTGCTGTCTTCCTGGCAGGTGAGCAGTTGTGGACTCTCATGAGGCGTGGTCTCTGCTCCACGGTGTATACAATACCTAACAAAGGGACTCTAATGCTCTATGTAGTGAGTGACTTTTAAAACGAAGGGTTAAGTAGGTTCAGTCTGATCTACATTCTCTGGAGCTGGTTGTATGCAGAGCTTAGTGAGGAAACCAGCCATTCTAGCATCAGGTATTGCACGCAGTCTGTACACCTTGCAGCCCTGCAGTGAACAAAGGTGGGTGGAGTACCGCTGAGGGTCACGTGCATACTTGTCCCCTGGGCCATGTAGAAGTGAGCCACACCGCCCCCAGGGGCGTTAAGACCCCTGCCACCCCTTTCCAGAACTTAGCCTGTATAGGCAGATGGGGCAAGAGAGAAGGGAAAGGTTAATGATCAGATAAACCAGTCACAGGCCGGAAGGAGTCCAGAGGAAATCCCAGATGGTGGCAGAGACCTACAAAGCCCTGCCCCCAAGAATGAACGCTTTTTAGAAAAGATGTCTTTTGAGCTGCCAGGGGTCTTCCCAAGATGACCCAGGAAGACCATCCCAAATTAAGGGTACCAGAGGAGCCTCTATACTGGCAGTTTAGGACTGCAGATGT